TTTTGAAAAAATATAAGTATGGGATTTTATCTCTATCATTTTTACGCGTTTCTAATATTGTTTAGTCAGCACTCATATCATTATTCATAATATCATGTACTCATAATATGTTAATAATTACAAAGATTGTTTTCTCCCCAAAATACAGTGAATAATTCATTAAAGCAGTGGAGCGATTGTTCATCTTAATACCACATGTATGTTAAAAGAGTCAGCCACCTCTTTCTGCTCCAGTTGAAGCCAAAAAACGCTTATGTGGGAATAAAAAATAGGGCAGAATTGCAAAATTATAGCTATAAAGATGCGCGAGGCAGCGGGGAAGATGAGCTAGAATTCGAGAAGGAAATACAAAATTTAATAAAGGAGGTGCAATATTCAGCTAAAGGGCATTGATTGGGAATTGGCTGGAAACGGTACGCGAGGAATAATGTAATCAAACAAGTGTGGTGGGAAATTATTGAGGATTGCGATATTTTAGCGAATGGGACTTAGAATAACGGGGAGCAGTGTGGCTCTGGTAATCAAGGTGAAATGGGGAGATATAGAGGCGAAGACGCGCGAGGAAAAGGGCGGGAGGAAAGAAGAGAAGGAGGAGGAAGGACAAATTGAATTGGGCCGCTTGATTCTAAAGAGTGGACACGTGCATCAGTTTTTTAGGAGTGATTTCTACTTATCATTGCTTTCCAGTTACAGGATGTATTTCAAAATTAAATGAACTCCTCGCTGTATATTTCACGACTCCTTCAATATGCGGGTTAAAGTGTGATGCATTATTATGTGAAATTATGGAAATGGCAAAACGAAGTGATGGGTGTGATGAATTTATTCGCGATGTTTTGTTACGCCTCGAATTTCTGAAGGGTATCAGGAAATAGTCGACAGCACCGTAGTTTCTTCTTCTTTAACTTGAGTATAACAGATTAGAAGTATTTCGTTATCAACTGCCTATTTCTTAAATTGTCACGGGAAGGGCGTTTAGATAATAAGTACATTGCCTCCTCTTCCCTTATTCACTTTTTTTGAAAATTTCTAGTAATCACATTGATAAGTTGTATGCTAGAATAGTAATGGTGTTTACGTTTTTTTTTTATACGTTTTGTGCTGCAACAATTGCAAAAACGCATATTGGTAAGACCTGTGTGTGTTTTGAGTGCATTTAATCCAGGAGTCCCAATTCGTGAACCAGAGAAGCTGAGAAGTTATGAAATTTTAGTAGTTTGTTGTTGACCAACGTGCGGCTTCGCAAATTTATATTCAGCCTTCCGTAACCTCGATAGCACGT